AACACACACATAGCATTTTTAGAGAATGTTCGTTGTCAGACCAGATCCAGAATAACAGGAATTGGTGGCCCAGTCCTGGTGAAGCCACGCGTGAGGCAGCGCCAGGAACAATTTTGTTTTGTTATCATGGCGTCTGTGCTCAGTGCAATCAGCAGGGGGCTCATGGCCCTGTGGCCCCACTTACTTCCCCTCCCAGGTTGCTTGTTCTGCATAAGAAATTTATTTTTATATATAAGACCAAAAAAAACGCCTCGGAAGTACAAACAACGTACTTAATTTATCCAACGAGGAACCATGTGCTAATCATCTAAGACTCCATGATGTTTCTTAAGAGTTGTGCTATTGATGATTCTATTAGATATGCGTGCACTGAGCAAGAATGCAACTTGGAATACACACACTCTTTAGGAAAGACTGGCCAACTAACAAGAAAAACGGGACAGAAACTGACCATATCGTCTGACAAGCACACTAAGTGAAAACATGGCAAACAAATACAAAGAAGTTCTCAACATAATATACCACAACAAGACACACACATAAAGAAACCAATTAGCACTCAATCTTATCGCACTAAGTTCAGAAAAAATTATTTGAAAAAAATGCCTATATATCTATAATAAATATATAATACCAGCGCCCACTGCCTACACGCCCTCAGCCGACGACATACACCACAATTAGACTTTCTGCAGATGCGACCCAGTCCACACAACACAGACTTCCCTACCCTACATCACCACCAAAAGTCTGTCACGTTAACTACCAGTAGTCCAGAGCCCCACACCCACAACACAGCCAGATATTACAACCGAAAAGAGGGGCACACGTTTGGCGTGTGCATGTCTGCCAAATTTTCAGTTGGGGTCATTTTGCATAAACCAAAAATTCGTCAATTCGCCGAACCCGGGTGCTCGCTGGCAATGAAAGCTAGTTAGCTATAGTAGAATTAAGTCCAAGGAGTCCACCACGGACTCCCCTGCATACTGTACAAATCAGGGAGTCCGACAAGTAAAATCCAGGGAGGATATTGGACTCGCCAAGAACTCGGTCGTTATTTCGCATCACCTGTCCTAAAGTAATCCCGCATATCACGACTAACTACAAGTTGGTACCCGACGTTCCTGCCGAGTTGGCACACTGGTTGCAAGCATCCCTCTAAACTCCACTTTACCTTTTCCGCGCTTCCCCTTCCTCCTCAAGGCTTCCTCCTAGGCCACCAATCCCCACACCTCGTCGCGGACGCCCCCCACCGCCGAGGCAGCGAACCCCTCGCCCTCCCCCCGCGAGCCCCGCTCGCCCCCCCCTCCCCCTCGCTCCGCGCCCCACCCACCGCTCGCCCCCCCCCCCCCCCCCCCTCCCCGCACGCCGCCTTGCCCCCGCTCCGCCCCACCTCGCCCCCACGCCCCTCTCCCGCCCGGCCGGCCCTCCCCCCCCCCACCCCCCCCCCTCACACCGCCCGCCCCCCGTCATCCCCCCGACGCCTCGACAGTCCCATCGCCGCTGAGTGAACCCTCGCCCGTCCCGCCGGCGCTTCCGTTCGCGCGCGCGTCCCGCAGCGTCCTCGTCCCCCAGCCCGGGAGCCGCTCCTCCCAGTTCCCCCCCTCAACCCTCCCCTCCCAACCCTGCTCCCAGCCACCAGCGCCGGCAACCCTCCCCCACCCTCCTCCCCCCACCGGCGCCGGCGAACCCCCCCACCACCACCCACACCACGCTACACTACTAACTACCACCCACACCTGGCGCAGAGTCTCACCTATTTCAACCCGCCGCCACCTGCCCCTCCAGCCCCGCCTATGACCAATCTCACATCTGAGACCGCTGGTCCACTTTGCGCCACCCCAACCACCGCGCGCCTGCCAGCCACCCTCCCCGCAGAACGCAGCCTCCCCACCAGTCTGCACGCCACCGCGCCCCTGACACCCCCACCAGACGGCCCACAGACGCAAGACATCCCCTAGCCCTGCACCCGAAAAATATATAGCAGTCCTCCTGGCCCATAACTACTCCGCTCTTTATGCCCTCCTCTCGTCCGAACATTGTACCAACCTCCCCGACCACCCTCCTCAAATATACTTTACGTGCACTATCCCCTCCGCACCTCATAAGTACCACACCACTCACCCGCCCGCGTCAACATTCTCTGTCATCATCACCTCTCGAGCGCCGCTCATCCACTCCTTCCCCACCCCCCCCCCCGTACACACTCACGATCCCCGCCCCACATCACCATCCCACGACGCCACACCCCAGCCGCCGCGCCCGCGCTACCAGCCCGCCCCCACCCCCAACCCCCCCCCGGCCACCCCCAACCTCACACACACACACTACTCACACACACACTCTTATCATCTACCACGACTCGCTTGCGCTTATATTGGCTTGTCACACACAGCAACAACACACACACACCACTACACTGGACACACAGCGAGGCCACACCCCAGACCCGCGCGCGCGCGCGCGGCAACACATCGTAACGCGCTGAAGATCCGTCCACACTTACAACCACAAAATCATGGTGATCCAAAATTCGTAGGGGGCGACATTTGATATGATGTTCCCCTCTGAAAATTCGTTGGGGGGGGACATGTCCCCTGTCCCCCCTGGATTGTCGCCTCTGCGCCCGGCAGCGTCTATTTTGCCAACAACTGCAGCAATAATTGCAATTATAGTAATGTATAGTAGTAATAGTATGTATATATAATGAGTAAAATGTTTTTTATGGAAAATACATCAGAAAACTTACACTATCTAGCTATTAGGGTTAGGGCACTTTTTAGGGTTTTTGCATCATTCTTTAATATATCCGTAAAATATATGGTAAAATGAGAAGTGCCTAGTAAACATATCCTACCACCCTTTCAGCCGGCTGCGTTTTCTTCAGTCAAAGCAAATCGAAGCAGCCCAATCAGAAGGCCGCTAAATCCTTCCGTTTGGAAAAAAAAATTTTGCGGTCGGGCGAATAGCCAGAATTCCCTATGGGCCCGACGGTCGGGCGAATAGAAAGAATACCCTATTGGCCCGACGGTCGGGCGAAAAGCCTCGGCCATGTATATAGCGCCACCTAGGGATAGATTTTGTTCATGGTCATTTTGAAGAGGTTTAGACTATTACATTAATTATTCCCTACAATCACATACGAATTTAATAGCGTTTCATAAATTTCTATGTATGATTACGTGTCATTAACGTTACTGCTAAATTAAAAAGCGTTTTTATACTAAATTGTTAAACATAGTCATAGGGCTGTGGCACTTGTTTATTTCGCGCCAAAAGATGGAAAAATCCAAAGACGATTTCTAACATCTATTTTGAGGTCTTGTTTTGAGGTGAATTTGAACTTTTATAGAACACTGAGGTAACGGGTCAGGGTGGCAAATATAGCAATGGGGCAAGAATCTGAAAAAGATGATGAGAATATAATGAATATCCTTGTCGCTACAGATATTCACTTGGGCTATGGAGAAAAAGATCCAATACGTGGTGAGTATTACTCGCCCCACGAATCACTCACTCGCTGAACAAATCACGTCTCACTGAGTTCAAATTGTTTACGGCGAGATCTCATTGCGAGTCAAGCATTTTTAAGAACCCCCGGATTTTAATCATGGGCTAATGATAATGTTATAGGCTTATGGTTGGATTGATAAATATATTCATCACACTTCAATGATTACACGTACTATATCACTGACACTGGTTAGATCAGCCCTCATCGCTGCTAATTGTCTATGTTAGCCTATTGTTACGCGTACGTGTGTGCGTGTGATTTAGTAATGATGTACCGTACACTGTGCATTTTGTGCAGGAAATGATTCTTTGGTCACATTCGAGGAGATCCTTCAACATGCACAGGCACAGAAGGTCGACTTCATATTGCTTGGCGGCGATCTATTCCACGAAAACAAACCCTCGCGAAAAATCGTCCATGGCTGCATGGTGAGAAGTTGAAGCTCGACTGGGCTTGGTAAAACCACAGGCACTTGAAGCGTTTCAATAAAATATAATGATAAATAAATACGAAATCTATTTACTACCAATTAAGTTCTTAATGTTTCTATACTCTCTTACACCTAGTAATATTATTGCCGACAGTTTCCTGTAAATTCCGTCCAAATCCTATTTGCAACATACGCTTGCGGCCGCCATTCCTCACGCGGCTGCACTGTGCACACTTACACTTATATATATAGCAGGTATAGGAAAGTGTGCTGCCCAAATTCGCTCGACGCTCGCTGGTATTCACACGATTACAACACAAATATTCAACCATTCTACTCCATCTCTGTTTCTATTTCAACAACAGTGTTCACTTGTTATAAAAACATATTGTCTCTGTTCGTAACCGAGCTGTGTCACGCGAAATCACACAAAGACTGACGAAATTCTCGCGTTCGCTAACGTTGCCCAGTAAATGTAAATGGCTGTCAGAATCAGGAAACACCCACCGGCGCTCTTCGTGCCCTCATTCTTGCGCCGCAACGCTGCAACGTTTTTGCAACGCTCCAATGGCGAAGCTCGTACGGGAGTTGGAAAGCAGTGCGCCGCCTATAGCCCATAGACTGGTACTCGCTCCCACCTCTCTGCTTAGCTTAGTTACTCGATGGGTAATCGAGGTGGGAGCGAGTACCAGTCTATATAGCCCTGTACTTGCAGCCATTTACATTTACTGGGCAACGTTAGCGAACGTGAGAATTTCGTCAGTCTTTGTGTGATTTCGCGTAACACAGCTCGGTTACGAACAGAGACAGTATGTTTTTATAACAAGTAAACACTGTTGTTGAAATAGAAACAAAGATGGAGTAGAATGGTTGAATATATTTGTGTTGTAATCGTGTGAAATCCAGCGAGCGTCGAGCGAATTTGGGCAGCACGCTTTCCTACCTGCTATATATATAAGTGTAAGTGTGCACAGTGCAGCCGCGTGAGGAATGGCGGCCGCAAGCGTATGTTGCAAATAGGATTTGGACGGAATTTACAGGAAACTGTCGGCAATAATATTAATACTAATAGGTGAAAGAGAGTCTAGAAACATTAAGAATTTGGTAGTAAATAGATTTCGTATTTATTTACCATTATATTTTATTGAAACGCTTCAAGTGCCTGTGGGTAAGACTACTTGCAATGTGACTGCATATAGTCACACTGTCTCGTTTATTGTTGAGGACGGTCAGTTGATACATCGGTGGTGTACATAGGTGTGGTGTAGACCTGCATAGATTCCAGCTTGCCCAATTAACTAAAATATTTCTACCAATTCTTTTGTAACATTGAGTGTTGTCCACATTTATCAGGTGTATGGTGTAGTGTAATTGGGCTATATTCTTATAGAGTTAGGTCAATCCCTGTGTGTGTGTGTGTGTGTGCACGTGCGTGTGTCTGAAAAACTAGTGTTGATAGCAGCTCCTGAACATGTATCAGTAATTAAACCTTTATTTTCATTCAGGCCTTGCTGCGAAAGTACTGCATGGGGAACAAGCCGTGTCAAGTGGAATTCCTAAGCGATCAATCCATCAACTTCATGGATAGTCATTTTCCTGTGGTGAACTATGAAGATCCCAACATGAACATCGGTATCCCTGTGTTCAGCATTCATGGTAAGAGTGAAGAAGTGTCACACTGTTAAATTTGTAAAGATATAATTTGTGCAAGATAGATTTCGCATTCCCTGCGATTATTTATTTATATAATGTACAATATTATTTCTTACATAAATTGAACAACATGTAATAATATCTATACTGTGTATATCAGAAGTAGATAATAGGGAACCTATCTTCCCCCCCCCCTTATATATCCTTATTATCTACTTCTGGTGTATATGGTATATAGATATAGCATGTGTTCGTGCTATATATTACTGTTATAATAATGTTCACTTTTTGTATTGATTTATTAATGTATGCTGATGTCAGGTAACCACGATGACCCGTGCGGTGCAGGGCAGCTGTGTGCAGTAGACCTGCTAAGTGTTGCTGGACTCGTAAACTACTTTGGAAAAGCAAGATCGCTAGATGATATTCAAATCTCACCTTTGCTGCTGCAGAAGGGAGAGACAAAGCTGGCGCTATATGGTTTAGGCAGTGTCCGAGATGAGAGGCTTCATAGGTTTGTAAAGTATAGGGTCTTTAGGAACGTTAGCCATACGTATTACATAATGAATATTAAGAATATTAGGGGTCGCCCTTAAGATTTTGTGTTTGCAGTAACATGACCTATAATATTAAATGATCAGCTTCTTAGTCCGTGTTATTCAATAATTGACAGTGCTGAGTTAAGTTGATGCTGACAATCTGATAGTCCAGCGGACTAGTTGGTACTGCAGTCTATGTACTCATCCGTGAGTAAACCTGGTAGTTTTAGGCCCCGTTCATGCATGACCTTCAGCTCCAGTTCGATTTAATAGTTGGGTTATGCTTTCATTTAAGCCATTGTAGTTTTATTATTGCTCTACTTACTATTATATCATATTATATACTTATACTGGATAGAATAAATGTCGTGAAGATTTTGAGCTACGCGTTACAAATGTTCACAGGTTGTTTTTGAATTCGCACGTGACCATGCTGCGGCCGCGCGACGACCCCGACTCGTGGTTCAATGTCTTCGTCCTGCATCAGAACCGTGCGAAGCACGACTCTAAGAACTACATTCCAGAGAGCTTCCTCGACGACTTTCTCGACCTCGTTGTATGGGGTCACGAGCACGAGTGTCGACTAGAACCAGAGTGGAACCCTGAGCAGAATTACTATGTCAGTCAGCCAGGTGAGATGAACACCACCTACTCGTGGGCGTGTCCAGCTGCAGTGCACTGCAATCTTTCGCGGTCAGATCATAAACATTTTCAGTGCTCGAAATGAATGTTCGATGGCAGTTCATTGCATGATTAAATATTAATTTCCGTTAAATATGGTCACGTGTATTATTATTTCCCATTCGGAGGACTGGATCGATCGATGGACTGGATCGATCGATTAACCTTCTTGTTAACTACAAACCTACCAATTTAGCACCACTGTTCAATTCTACCCAGTACCTCAGTCGCTGCCATGGAAATAAGATACTAGTTTGACTAAGTATCTTAGTGTCTCTATTTATTTCTATGGTCACTGCAAAGTTTTGTTGTCGCGCTTCGCAGGCAGTCCGATCGCGACATCTCTCAGTGAAGGCGAGATGGTGCGGAAGCATATTGGACTGCTGAAGATCAACAAGAAGAGTTTCAAGATGGAGAAGATTCTGCTGGAAACTGTGCGGCCGTTTATCACCGAAGACCTCAGACTAAGTGACACCAGCCTTGACCCCTCAGAGGAGGGCATCGGTGAGTCACTTAGCCGTCAGCCGGACACAGTCAAGACCTGTATTAATTAGCGGTCACCTCTATAGAACGGACACCTTTCTATAAAGGACAACCTCTATAGAACGGACACCTTTCTATAAAGGACACCTCTATAGAAAAGCGGACACCTTTTTATAAAGGGACACTTTTTGGTGGTTCTGCTGAGTGGCCAAGTTAATCACAGTGAACACCACCTTTATTAAAATGGGCACCATCGAATGGACACTTACATTGCCAGACTCCCCTTGACCGCGACCCGCCAGGCCACCACGACGCAGACTGTCTATAGAGCCCCTACTGAGTATTAATAATAAGTCAATGTCTACTGAATACAGGTTCTGACTGTAAAGCGATTCGTCACTTGTTACTTCCGCTGATGGCGCACACAGTGCTCGTGTTAATATGTATCGTGTTTCTATGTCGTAACTCTATGTAGTACTTGTGTGTCGCCGGTGTTTGAAGAGAAGAAACGGATAGCAAGACTACTGCTACCCGAAAAGATTAGGTGATCGATCAGACACGCGGCTAGGCGTTGACCAGCTACTAGGCAATAGAGGCAGTCCTACCTTTAACCTCTCATCCAAGGTATATACGGGAAGACCGCCGGCTACGAAAGGACAACAATGGCTCCTTATCAAAAGTCACCTCCACATTAGCAACACCACCCCCGAGGCACTTGCCATCACTTCTTAGAATTTGATTCTCAGCGTCGTCTGAGTCTAGTATGGGTGTACGGTACCGCAAAATCAGGCCCCGTCCCACATCTGATCGCACCATAGCAAAATACACGCGACACTAACAACACCCATGACCCTCACCAACCTATGCAGCGATCACGAGCGAGCCCACCGGCAGCCCACCCGTTATCCTCTCAGCATACTGAAAGGATCTTGGGAATTTTCCGGAGCAGTCTCATGCATGGTCAGTACCTTAACCCCCGGTAATCTCACGTGTGCCGTTTCTAGTGGCTCGACCCCCAGTGAAAAAAATACACGGGGGAGAGGCCCTTGGCGCCGCATTAGCCCCGCCGAAAATATCCCCCACAAAAAGAAAAAAGGCCCCGCTCAAATTTGCACTAAGAGTTCATGCCAAACCAAATTTAGAGCGCTGCTATTGGTGCGAGGGCATCGCGCCATCACGCCGCCGCGCTATTCGGGAAAAGTAGTCCGCCCAGAAAAATAAATTTTTATTGTTTTTCCCCTGACTGTGCGTCAGCCGACGCCCCGGATTAAGAACACCGCGTCCGGGTTGTGTTGCCGAGCCCCCTACGACCTCCTTCAAATGTTACTCGGCGGATGACTTCCATTATTCAATTTATCGTAAATTGTTACTCCAATTTATCGTTGAATTCGATTTGTTGGTTTTCAGGCTCCAGAGTTGAACTACTACGACCACCCACGGACCGCTGATTCGACAACGTTTCCTATCAGTGATTCGCGCGCCGCAAGCTGAGGTCCCCCTTGTCGAGAAAAAAGTGGCCAATCCCAAACCGAGATTAATTCACTTTTCGAAAAGAAGCTCATTAGGGGAGACCCCCTGAAAGACGGCAACACTAGTAGGCATCAGCTATTTCAAACCCGAAGAAAATGCCTGTGTTTAGCCGCTATAGCAACATCACTTGTGGTGCAATTACTTTATTCGTGTGTACTATACGTGGAAACAAGTGTTAGGAGCGTAACAGTTTTCTCCTAAACTGTGGTAGACAGCAGTTATAACAAAATATACAATAAGTAGCATTATTATTATTATTGCAGTTTTTATTAATTAATTATTGTGTTTATATGTATTCCTTTGTTATAAATTACATTATACCCATTTTATTATAATACGATCTCTATATAAAGTTATACCCCCAGCTTTGCAATGCGCGCTGTGCTGGCACAGATTATTTATTGTGATAGGTTCGATGTAGTTATACTACTTGATATCAAACCTTAATTATAGTAATTAAATAGTGAGATTTAGTTAACATTAGTAATTTAATAGATAGTCCGACAATTAACTGCGCTTGGTATGACATCTTATAAACATCTTGGGCAACCTGTGTGTGTGAATTGTCTGTCCCGTAGGGTGCATCGAAATGGCAATGTCCTGAGGAAGAGTTGACAAATCTCGCGGAGTCCGAAGGATCTCGTGCAGGAATATTTCTCGCGCGCCGACAGCGCAAGAACAAGCTACTGCTGCTCAACCGAGAGGCGAGTTCGGGGATGCGGTCCAGAGGTAACCCGTGTCCATTCTGTTTGCCGACACACAATGGCACATGCCACCCAGCCATTTACTTGATTATTTCTATTTTTTACTTATCTCGTCCTGACGACACCCGGTCAGCGGAGTGCAGCTAGTACGGACTAGCAGAATGGTGTCCGGTCACAGCGTGCGTCCTCCACTGGTTATCATTAATCTACGTTTGTATTACTTCCTCCCCTAAAGTGCTTGAGGTTGATAATTATACCAGCTCTGCATCAAGCTTTTTTTTGCAATATTCTTACGGGCGCTCATTCGCCATCGTACGAGCCGGAAATGGATTTCGTTTGAAAAACTATACTGGTGTGCATTACTACCTCCAATCCGTTCTCTACACCCAACTTAAGAGATCAGCCAGATACTGGTTCATCTAGTGTAAGCTATTACAATTACGAGACTCAATACGTGTTACAACTGGATAGCAGTGGCACGAAATAACAGAACCTTGCGGCAACTCACTGAGCCACGGAACCCCGCTGCCAATCATCATTTGCGAGAAATGTGAGAACTCAAAGCGTATGCGTGCGTGCGATGGCGTGCCGTCGCCATCGACGTGCTTCCTCGGAATCATTACAATTACTACATGTACTCATCGTGTATGAGTTTCGTAGACGAAGATTGAAGAAGCGATCCGCAATAGTCGGAACTCCCGCTAACACCCGGACTCAAAGCGAGTATAACCCAGCTAACCAGACCGAACTCCCGAGCGATAAACTCGCCACAAACAGAAGCTCCCATCCTGGCCTCTTTCAGCCCGCCGCAACCTCGAGGGCTAGCAAGAGGCACGTCAAGCCCAATATACGGGAGGAGGAGCGGAAGGGAAGAGGCGATGATCCACGCATCCAGACAGCTGATGACCTGACGAGACACATTCCAGGTCACCTGCTATTTTCACTATATCGCCACCTCCGAGACCCCGATCCGAGCACGAGACATAATACCTCTCCTATCCACGGTGTTACGTTTCCACACAATCTCTCTACAAGTGGCAGCATAAAAGCCCCCGCGATACGTTACTAACGAGCTTGCAGCCACCCCCGCTTATCATATTTTTCTGCAACTTTAATTCTTCGTCTTCCGGTCTTGGTTAGCGTGCTCAGAGGTGTGACTCTCTCTCAGTCTGGCACCTGGTTGCAAGTGACCACTGCAATGTGAGATTGTTCAACCGCTAGCAAGTGGCGGTGCAAAATAGTAACTCCTCTGCGCATGTGTGTATTAGGTGTACGTGTTTGTGGGTTTCGCCGCTAATGGCGAATTGTCCCTTGTGACAAGGTGAGGGAGGCACTGAACGCCCCGGCTGACTAACTCCAGCCCGCAACGACGCGCGAGACCAGTTCACTGCACGATGACATTCGACTCGATGACGCGGAGGCGGCGGGAGCTGGGACGGTCAAGAGCGGACGTGGGCGCGGAGGGAGAGGTCGCGAGCAGTCGGGGCTCCCGCGGTGGCAGAGGAAGCCGAGGAGGACAGAGGACGCCGGAAACAGTAAGAGGTTAAGAGATTGCGCTTGAAACCAGTTGTCAACTCGAGGAAACTACGGGTACAAACTTGAGTAGCCGTGATATGCGATTTACTTGAGCAGGGTGCGACATATTACGGCGAGTCTGGAGTCGCAATACTCCTGATTTACTGTCGACTCCCTGATTCTAATTGCAGGAGTCCGTGTGCACTCTGAATAATTTTACTATATACTAACTAGTTCATTCAGAGCACGGCTTCGGGGGGGGGGGGCGGAGGAGGGGAATTAAGACATTTTTTTAGGACAATGACCAAGAAAATTGGCAGACATGCTACGCGAAATGTCAACTTGTTTGTTAATATCTGCGGTACTACTTGTATACTGCAGACTTCGTTTTGATGGTAGGTGAGTCCGTGGACTCGCATTTTCAAAAGTTTATTTCTACCCTGCTTAGGTAATTATTTTTATTATGATTATAGAATTTTTTCAAATAATTTTTTCATAACTTAGTGAATAAGTGAATGACTAATGTGTTTTTATGGACTTTTTTACTATGATTCATTAATTTTGTATGCTACAATAGTGTCTCTATTGCTTCAGAATTCATCACTATGAGTTCTTTCAGCTGTCGACAGCTGTCATGGAGGCGAGAAACGGTACACGAGTCGGCTGGTCCAGATA